CATATCTCTTTTAGTTTTTTAAAAAATCGACTGTATAAATTAAAATGGCCCACCCTGTATATATATATATGTATAGACATACTATATATGCCTCGTTCTTTCTGCGTATCTCTTGCTCGTATACCCTGCGAGCGAACATAATACCTGGCGATAGTGATAAGGTCCCCTGTTTACCGAGATATCTATGCGATGTTTAGAGAGGCTCCATCGACCGCAAAAGCAAGAGATAATCCAGGCACAATTTTCGTCGTCGTGAAATGACCTCGATTTTCGTACAATATTACGGAACTACTTATTACGGTTTAATTATTAAAAGCTGCATCTTTAGAAACGGATAATTTTTACATCTCTATGACGTTTAACAATCCCGGACGGGCAAGGGATAAAAATTAAGTAAAAACAGAAGCGACGAACAAAACTTATTTCAGAGTGTCTAGTCATATATGCAAAAGCTCGTCTCAGTTAATTCAATTCAATTTAATTTCGAAATAATATGAAAATACATATTTTTGCAGACCATACTGTACTGCAATCACGGTAGCGCAGACGGTTGTAGAGATAAACCAAGTTAAATATTTTACCGTGGAACCGGCTTGTGATAACACTCTCACATCTGTTCGTCTCTCCATCTCTCTATTTTAATCTACTTGGAAATTATTCCACTGACAGAATCGGATGTTTGTTTTTTTTTAAAGAATTGTGAGAATAAAATTTCTTTTATTTGGGGCAACTAAATAGATTTTTCAGAATACTGACTTAATACATTACGAGCTACTGCGTGCAGTATTTCAGGTTGATAAGTTCATTTTTACACATTTGTTAATTAAATCGCCATACTTTTTAAATTAAAGACTCGAATGTGTAATCAACATTTTTCAGATTATGAGAAAAAAATCTCTTTTCGAAAATAAACAGATACGTACATCTATTTGCTCGATTTCAGAGTATGGTTCGGAAGATATTAACTTGATTGCTATTTAATGTTAAAAGGTAAAAAAAAAACGATAAAGTAACGATGGTTTTACACAAGTTGACTCCAAGTGAAGAATGCCATTACGAGAATGTGAGAATACCGTATGTTTTTGAACGTCAACGTTTACTTTCGTCAAACAGTACCTTTAAACGAATGTAACCTGCGCCCAGAAGGTCCCCGTTTCCTTCGTCGTCGTGTAATTACGTGCGCAAGAGGAATTTCAATCGAGTCACGTTCGTGCGGCCAGAGAGACCACCGAAACGAGCCGAGAACTTTCAGCGTTGCGGAAAGCGCGCGTGTTCTTCCACAATTTTTCAAATAATAATAGAACGCGGGTTTACGTAACGGCGCGCAAATTACAGGTCGTGCTCGTTCGAACAGAGCGAAAAGTTGTACTTTCACCGCGGTCTTGCGACATCGCGCGAATATGATGCGCGATCAATCGTAGGTTTGTCGTGCGTGGATTCCAGTGCGCAAGTTATGAAAACAGTTTCCGGCCTCACATTCTCTCCTCTAACTTGTGCACTTTCCTACTTTTATCTGGTTCACTGGAGAACATTTATGACGCGATCAATCGATCTTCCCGATAGACATCAGGTTCCACTCGATTAGTTTTCAGCTTTGATTCTGGATGATAATGGAACCCAATTTATTACGGAACATTACACGCTCTGCGATCGGGCGTCGTAGGTGTCACTTTACGACACACGTATCGAGATTTCCATATTCGTTTCTCGTCAAACGCAACGTTGGATGATTAATTGAGGTATACAGCTGACTAACCGTTCGTAATGTATTTCCGGGTATGGCGGAAAGAGTCTAATCACTTGAATGATAATCATGTAATTTCATATGCTGGCTCGTATGCACGTGTCGAGTCAGCGGCGGTGACCGACATTTCTTCTTTCGAGTGTGTCTGCGAAATTTACGTAACGTTTACAATCGCTTTACGAGCGTGGCTTTCCGTTGCCCTCGACAGTCGTGGCGCGGACACGAAGTCCGGGTAGCGGCGCGATTATAAACGGAGCGCACACGTGTCCCCGCAATGTGATCCGCGCGCATGCATCGCCGATAAGTGCACTATATCGCCTTTCCCTTGCCAGCAGGCACACGAGACTCGGCAGTACACGACGCATTAGCGAATTTCGTATTCAACCTCCAGCTTAAAAGTAAGCCAGCGACGCGGCGGACAATTGTAAGAACATTGGAACGGTCGTTTGCTTCGTCCGTCCTGTCGCAAATACGCACCTCGTTACGCACGAGCGAGAATCTCCGCGAGATATCACCGGGTTCACCGCCCGTCGATATTTCCTATCGAAGGGGCAGCGAACTCGAGACGCGAACGACGAATACGCAAATGGGGTAACACATGGTACCACGTGGCAGGTGGAATAGGAAAATTCACACTGACTCTGGCTCCTTCGAGACTTGAGTTTGCTGGCGGTCTTTCCCATTTTCCCGCCGGTCACATGCCAGCGGCTGGCCGTGCGCGCCGCAGGAATTCCCACTGGTGAATCCAATCGTGGGTGCGCTGCGGGAAGCGAAATGATCCGGACGGCGCGGCACTGACACGGCAGTACGGTTGCAGCACCCTGCGACACAGTCTGACCGTAGCATAATGCGATACCGAGCTAACTGAGCGCAAACACACTAGAAAGAAGGGGCCAGACCGTCCGACCCACCGATACGCAAGTGGTGCTCGCAGGAGGAGGAGAACGTGACCGGCAGCGTGAGGAGAGAGACGCAGAGTGCGGGGGAGGCTGATAGTATGAGAGAGAGATATGCAACTGGGAGAGAGAGAGAGATAGTAGATATTATATGGTAGAGGAGGAGGGAACTAAACGAGCAAATGGCAGAGACGAGTGCTATTTAACAAACGATACTGTCACCAGACGTAGCACATGATGGCCTTCGACTGGTATTCGAGCCTATACATTCTTAAACGTTTCAATCAGAGTCGGGCAACGTAGAGATCTGAAAGATATATTCACAGAACTTTTCTTGACATTTTGCGAACGTGGAACTGCGACGCCGCGCTCAGAATTTGAAGTGGCTCTCGAGCGAACCGTGTCGAGTGGATTTTGCAACGTTAAATCCATCCAAATCATGACATGTAATTTAGCTCCTTAGTTATTTCAACGTCAGTGGGCGACTCCACTTCTTGAATCTCGCTACTGTCAAATTCGATAAACGGAACGATCACACTTGTGAGCGTCTATTGATGTTTCTATCGATATTTCACGCTTTCCTGAAAACGTTGAATGTTGGTATTGAGAACTAACATTTGCTGAGAACCTTAAGTGTAAAATAACAATAGAGGTACAAAGTAAAGATAAGGAACAAACGTCCTTAAGGGATACTATTCAGAAGTGGCCCTGAAAGTTCGTGTGTGTGTGTGTGTGTATATGAGAGAGAATACAGAATTCCGATGACTCCAGGGAAAAAGAGAAAAGGAAGAGATAGAGAGAGAGAGAAAGGGAAAGATAAAAAAGAATACGTGCACAAGTGTGTCTGACACGCGGATGCAAGGCAATATGATTCTTCTCGCGGAGTCAACTCGTGATGTCATCGGAAACCCGGACTCGTTCCAGCTAAATGCGACTCCTCGGATTAATCCGAGGTTTCTTTTTTTCCTGTCGTGTCAGCAGGTTTCGCAAGGACGCAAATGCAAGAGGCGACGAGTTACGGCCTGTAAACCACCTGTTGGACATTTCGACATGTATTCCCTGACATGCGTGCCGGTCTCTCACCGAATTCGCGTCATTTTGCACGACGTCACGCTCGAGTCTATAAATAGAGAATGATGATAGAGTCTCGATTAAATCCTAGGTTGCAAAATAGAAAGATCAACGACGCGCGCGTCATCGTACTTGAATCGATATCGGAGATTATATTTCCATGCATTTACCACAGGTGTAACGTATGCCTTTAGATTGAAAGTTAATTCTTCAAAGTGCAAAATGTTTTCGCACTCCTGGATTTCGATCGCCGAATATACACGGCGTCGACGAATTGCTCATCGACAGGCGATAGCGCTTTCTGTAGTATCGGTATGAGAGGATTAAGGAGTAATGTGCCAAGTCTGAAAGTAACGCAGCGAGACATCGTGTACCGCTTAGGCCTTGTTTATTGGTGCTGTTTGTCGGAATACATCGAGTTTTACAGTCAATATTTTCTATACAACAATTTCTGCCGTATTACACATTTTCTCTATACACCATACATACACAGAATAGTTATTTTGTATACACACGTCGACTAGATCTTACAATGTCGTTTTATTTAGGCTCCGAAGGACCGATTTAATGCGAGAGTCGGTTCCAATTCGCGAACGAGTTCCCTCGAATGAGAAACACGCTTGCTGAATAAATTGCACATTCCCTACTAATAAATTGACATCTTGGTCGACCCTTGACGCTTTCCCTCTTCCACTCGTCCACTCTCTGTTTCTGGAGATCCGTCTTCGAAAAATATCGCTAATTAATGGAGCTGTTCTAACATATGACGTTGACCGTTGAAATATTTTTCTGTAGGCTAACTGTATTCCGATTTGTCATAACTGAATCCAATTGTCAATACGAATTTATGGAGTGGTCCGATACGCAAAGGATGCGCTGTCCTCCAACTATAGACTCGCGTCGGTTGACGAGCGATATCGCGTGCAGTAATTGAATATCGGCGATTACATAAATATTGGTTTCAGGCGGATTCGCTATCAAACACTTCGAGATATTTACAGGCAGATGAAGTACTGAGAATGACACAAAGATATAAGCGACAACTGATATGCTTGGCATTGCCAAAATGTTTTACGCTGAAAATGAGGAGGGAAATCGATTTAATCAAAAGTGTTCGTTCAGTTGAAAATAGAACTCCGAGCTGGTAAAATTAATTAATAAGTGGAGAGTTTTAACAATAATTATTTATTTACACTTCCTCGCGTTTCGTCATTCTTAGTGCTTCAGCTAATTAACGACGCTCCTTCATTCTCATCATGCCTTTAGAATATATTTCTATAAGAAATGATAGCTGTTAAAATGAAAGGAATAGTCAGTGACTCGTCGATGTAAATATAATTCGACATCGCGAGTAACTTTGTTCGTTAATAAGGCTAATCGGAAGCACCGATCATAATGCTAAGCAGTCGCTTCGCCGTCCTCCCTCGCGGTCTAATCGATCTCTTCAAATTTCCCTTGCCAAAGATCGTACACAATACTCTTCATTTGTTATCTTCTACTTTGTCTCTGTATCGTACAGACACGCACAGACACACAAGAGGTACGTATACTACACTATAAACGAGCGACGTGCAATATATACGAATGTCCGGTGACGCTCGCGTTTCAATCTTCCAAATGGCGGAATGGCTTGTCGGGAAATCATCTGCGTCTGTATTAGAAAATTATACATCCACACACTGTTCGCGCAAAATTCGATTTCTGTTCCTAGGACAAGTGTATTCTTGTAGAAACATATAACGGATCGTATCGATAGGGAGAAAAACTTATTCAGGCGTAAAGGAACGATACGTAATAGAAGAAAGCCGAAATTCACAGCTGCGAAATGTGCGATTATTTGGCATTAAGAGGAAAGATGCCCCGCAAAGCCCAATCATATCTTCGAGCAATTAGGACCCGAAGCCATTTGCGGGGTGGACAACGTCTCAACGGAGATGGCAAACAGGATAATGGTATTTATTTTCTGAGATAAGTGAGATGAGCAAGAAGAAAAATTCAAATAGAAAAAGATAAAAGCTAAGGATGCTCATAGATTAAAATGTAATATAGAAAGAGTGGATTACTGCATCTCATATAGGGGACATCTGGAAAAGAATTAAAATTTAAAAAAATTAAAATTTAAAAAAAATTAAAAATAGAAAAGATACGGAATATGAAATATATTACTGATTTCTTAAGTATTTTTGCCAAGTCTTTTAGATACAGCTTCGTGATTTTCTTCACGACTAATTTTCTCTCCAATTAATTGTAAAGAACAAATAATCACAATTTGTACATTACGGATAATAGAACTAAGGATTTGTAAGAGAGAGACTTATTGTTTTTTCAAATTTCAAAACTTAGAAAGTAATAGGATCTCCTCAGAAGACTTTGCATGGAACTTATATTGGTTTGACGCTTGGATACCTAAGTTAAAAAAATTACGGTCGAAGTATAAGTATTTCGGAAGGGCATTCTGTATAAAAAAGAAGTATGGCAATATCGTGTCCGCGTATAGTTGTCTCCCGTCCGCTGTGAGATACAAAAGAAACGATTCTTATAAAAACAAGTGTAGGCAGGTACTGCGTTATGTTTCGCTGGAATTCTTTTCAATCGCTGTGTCACTATTTTGCCCTTCAAGGGTTCACGATTAACGTCGCCGAGTTCGAGGGTCCGACGATCTCATCTAAAATACTTTCATGTGTTTCATGAGTTTCGATTTCTTCGAACGCTTTTTCACGGAAAGTCACTACTTTTAACATTGTTAGTTATTTAGCTATTCTTCTCCCCGAAAGAAAACCGGGGGGCCTTTGCGCTTCGCGACACTCGTTCCCTTTAGAAAAACTTTACGAAGGTTTGGAGTCCTCTCCGCAAGGTTCATACGATCGTGTCTTTTTAACACGCATAAACAATTTGGAAAACGATTTGTGGTCCATCTAATAATAATGGTTTAAATTTGACAGTAAGTCGGCGCAGTACAAGTCAGAATCTTGATGTGTACGACATGGTACACGTAATATTAAAAACTTCTTATGAAATTGTAAAGTTCAGAACGTGTGGGCTCAAAAGGTAGACAAATAATTTCGCGTTGGAAAATGGCGTTGGAATAGGCCGATTGTTACAGATTGTATATTTTGGAGGTGTAACAGGAAATATAAAATAATATTTATATTTATTAATGTAAAAGAAATCTTTGACTTAGAGCTTTGCGATGAATCTATTGAACTAAAATGTAGGAAATTAATACACGCAAAGTGTACGTTTGTAAATTTCAAAAAATAATATAATCTGTGCATATAGACTTATGTTAATTGTATACTTTATCATTTTAATTTTAACTTTTGCATTAAATTTACGTACAAACGCATCTCTCAGAAGCGGAGGATTACGGTTGACGTCAAAATTTATGAATTATATTTATATCAAGTTAATTTTTAACTCGTAGACTTTTTATATTACTGCACTTTTAAAAGCAGCGTGACAACTTTTCGCGAAAAACTGTATACACTCCATATTAAAAATGATGTACAAATTATTTCAAAAAGTTTCAGACTAATACACACGAATGTCTCTTACACTGAATATTTCCTGTTACCTCCGCTGTAGACCTAACGTCACATGAAACAATTTATACAACTGTTAATCTGTATATCTGTAATATAATTACTGTCAGCCACAAGAGGATATTAATAGGTCCTCGAAAATACGCGGACGTATTTTGAATGCGTTGGGCGGCTTGAAAGAATTTCAATGTAAGAAAATCTTTAGTGTTCGAATTTTTACGGTGGAATATGTGAAACCCGTATGCCAATAATAGAACAATGCTGATTCCCTGCGCGGATGTACGGATTTTATTAAATTTCTCGTGCTCTGGTATGGATTCTTTTTCTTTATATAATATGCTAAAGCACATGCCAGTAGGTAAATGAAACTAAGAATTTGGGGCATAAGTTTAAATATCATTCTATTTCCTAACTTAAAATTCCAATGAGACAATCTCGTAGTCGATTGTGTTTCAAATAATGAGGCGTAAAGTAGGAATTAAATATTGAATTTGATCCGTTTCTCCGGGTCGTATAATTCTGTCACTCTGTCGTAAAATTCCAATTGGAACGAGCGCAATGCAATTGACAGCAATTAAGCGCACGCCGATGATCTTCTACGTCTTAGTCTTTAAGCGCCGGTCGCAATAAGGATAAACGACTCGCATCGCAAATTACGCAAAGTTGCCACAAAATGACTTTGCAAACGTTGCACCAATTGACGCGGCTCTTTGCAACGTGGTACGACACATATTACATCGAATGCTGAGAAAATAAGTCTGTAAGAGAGATGAGAGCACATTTGAACGTTAGGCCACACATTTAAACAATTCAAATATACGGCAATAGAAAATATTCTTCAAGTTGTTAAAAGAAGTTCTTGAAAAGCGTTTTGTTTCCGACGAGCGTGAAAAGGCGCTGCAGACCTTTCATCGGAGGGGCGTGATATTCGAATTGTTTAAAAGTGTTGTATTATATTCAAATGTATCTCTTTCTACTCTACTTTATATCTAATAACTGGACAGCTCCTATGCAAAGGGAAACGAATATACCTCCGGTTTTCTCTTGGCGTAGGAGCAGCGCAATTATAGCGTTGGTTGTCATTAGATGTGCTCTCTGCGTGTACATACACAGTTTTAGTAGTCTAATCTGAAAATAATTTATCTCGCACCTTCGTACGCCGAACGCGTATGAGGCCTTAACATTTCATCGCGCGCGTGAGTAGCTTCTTGTTTCCTCTTATGTTGAAATAGGCGCAGATGTCTCGCCGACATCGCGCATGTTGTACAGAATATAAATGCATGAAGCTCCCCCGTCGTTCTTTAGGCGCTGATTCCTGGTTTGTGCGTGTGGTGATCAGGTAGGCGTCTCTCCCGTCGAGGAGAGAAGCGGAACCGGAAGAACGCGGCGATTTACAGGAGGGCGCAGGCGGTGCCGTGCATCACCTCGGAGATGAACATAGGCGTGCCGGCGCTGAGGCCGCCGTCGCCCTTCCCTTGCTCGTCCTTCTCGTAGTCGCAGTCGAAATAATGGCTCTGCAACGGAACGCGTTTCACTATGACGCGATGTAACCTTGCGCCTTTCGAAATTGCAAACGTAAACTCGCGAGCCGAGCTGGCAAAATAAAACTTCCATTTCGATCAGTCATTCCAATATCAATTTCTCTCGCTTTCTCCGTCAGTTTCGTTTTAAAACGAAAATATTTTTTTGACGTTTTATTATCGGTGCAATTGGAACGTTCGGGACTTGAATCTACCTGAAATCTATCTCGAATAGCGCGAGCGTGTCTTTTTACAAACGTACCTGGCAATCCAAACATCTGCAATGATCGCTCATCTTGCAAGTGATGCCCCATTGCTTCGCCATCGCCTTGTAGAACTCTTTGCTCGATTTATGAAGTATCTTCGGCCCCTTGGCTGCTTTCCTGTCCCCGCCTCCGGGACCGCCACTGCCGTCGTCACCCCCGTCACCGTCCTCGGCGTCTTCCGTACTCGTCTCGTTCTTGGGGACCTGTTTCTCCCTGTCCTCCTCCTTAGCCTCCCGTAGCGCGATGGCTGACGATTCCATTCGTGTCTGTGAACCGCAACGTTTTCGACAATTGAGAAAGACCGAAAAGTGACGGCATAAGGGCGCAGAATTCGCCGGGTCTCGGGTCGCTGTGACGTTCCGAAATTTTCATTAGCAAGGGATTACGAAGCGACACTTGGCACGTGTACACGAAGTGCTTTATAGCGTGCAGCCTGTGGCGAGTGATCGCTACTGGCAACAGCTGTACGTGTGACGCGACTGTTTGTTACGCTGCGATGTATGGACAACGTGGCGCGAATTATCGCACGACGGATCACAGGCAACTATATACACGGTCCACGTGTACACCACGTTAATCCCGCACGTTGCATTTTCCATCAGCGAGCTGTCGTAGGTATCGACCTCGGGGCGCTTCGAGCCGCATATTTCGCGTTCCGCGCGATACTCAGCCCCGTATAGAATTAATCGAGCGTATTACCACGCGTAATCCTCGGAATTGAACGCGGGTCGCGCAAACAGCTCTCTCGGTTGACGCGATCGAAAATGTCGATCGTGCATTTTTTTTCCCGCGTCACCCGCGCGATACGTAATCCGCATCGAGATCTAGTAAATCACCATCCGAGGTATGGGCGCACTCACCTCTTCGAGAACGTGCTCGTACGAGGGCGGGGGCGAGCTGGGGATCGTCTGCTCGTTTCTAACCGACAAACAATTCTTGTCCGTTTCCGCCTCGGGCGCATCCGCAAACTCGTCTGTGCCCGACGGCAACGACTGATTAATTTGCCGTTGCTGTTCCTCGGATTCCACGCTGTTGCTGCGACTATCGCCGGAGCTGCGCGATTTCAGCATCTTCGAGAAACGGAGCTTGAACGGCGCCAGCTTGACGAATTTCTTCGTTCTCGTGGCCTACGAAAAGGACGGTGATCGTGTTTTCATTTGCGAATCAATCGCGAGACGAGTATTTCATCGAGAAATCGCATCTCGCGAGTAACGGACGTGTCCGGGGATTCGCGGGGATATAAAGTGAAATATTCGCCCTACATTTCGAGCCAACTTTTAAATTAGCAACTGCGCGACTCTGAATCTTCAATATATAAGAATTTAAGTGAAAAACACTCTGGAAAGAGTGAAGTGAGGGACGTATTAACTTGAGTGAAGAAACGGGAGTTTGTCATAAATAAAATAAGGATTGGAGAAGTACAGAGAGGCGGAAGTAGAAAAAAATAATGGGCCGAACGTAAGGCGGCGCAGAGCGAGCGAAAACTTATTCTCTTTAGTTGGATAATAATTTCCAATTTTTTGGTCCGAAATAGGTTGACTCGGCTCGGAACGAGAACTTTACTCTATACCCGCGAGATCACGCAACTGCACCGGATGCATCTGTCGTTGACCTACTGACCGAGTTTGCGGATATTGGCGGTCGACGTACCGCCGCCACTCGACTTGGTGCATTTGCGGCCGACTTTACAGACGCGAAGCTTACCCCGCCCTTAAGCTCCTTCCGGAAAGGAGAGGCCGGCGGAATCGAGGACGAGCCCGAGCGATGATTCTGGCACGTCGTGCCGCACGATATTATCATTTCGATGCGGCGCGCGAAAATATTTGCCGCGTTCTCTGCCTCGAGTAAAACGTAAGGAGAGACCCGGCTTTCTGAATTGCTATGAAAATATGATTGCTAATGCTGTCACCTGCGCGCGCGTTAGTGCAATTCAGTCTGGATCGACTGAATTTGCCGGGGACCGTTATTAATTACGAGAATTTCGTTATTGAGCGTGACGGATAGAGGATAACAAGATTCCGAATTTCGTGCTGCAAACTCCCGGGGTAAACACAGAAGATTGAAGTGCCGGCCTTCGTCGTCATGTCGGAGTAAAACCGCCAGATAAATCGATAAGCTGACAAAGATCGAGCTAGAGATGACTTGGATCGTCTCCCGCGAGTGGAGCAAGTCCTTATTCTTAAGGTCAGACCTCCTACCGACCGTTCAAATTGTGTCACCGGATCCTTGCGGTTGACAAAGTCAGGAACAATAGCGCGGGCGGTTTTCCGATACGTATTCGCAAGTGGAACAGACCTATTTGCGGTCGGACGTGTCGCGATGCCATAAACGGCAGCTGTTGTTGGGATTTGCGAGTGATGAAGATCACTCGGCAGTTCGGACAATGACGCGGCGGAGAATTGCATCTCTCGAAATAATCTTTTTCCCTCCATTCTCGCACGTGGCGACGCAAGGAGGTTACGATTCTTAACGCGTGACTGCGGCGAAGAAAATGCGAAGACCATCGCGCTCGAACAAAAGATAATGAGAGCTTAAAAGTATTCGAGAACTCGAGAGAGAGAGAGAGAGAGAGCCGTACTTTAACTTAACTTTAACAGAGGATTAAGAAAATTCAACAGAGGATTACGAAAGTTTTATATCAATTGCAGGGGGAATGAAGAAACTTGCTTATTAAGCATATTCCATTATGTACGATCAATTCCGAGAACGTTTGATTATCAAAATTTAATATGCGAAACTCCGTCGCTCGCGTCGCGAAATCGCCAAGTTTTAATCGGAATGGCGAAATGTAACTCGCGCGGGCAAACGGACGAGCGTAAAACTTTGATGAAAAATTCCATCTGGACGGAAATCACCGCTCAACGGATAAGATAGACGGATAGGGCGACGTTTTATCGTACAAATGAAACAGGCGACAAAGTAGGTTGCATCGGTCGGCGGGGGCCGGGAGAATCCGCGCGTTTCCATCCGCCCTCTCGCTCCCTTCTTTCCCTCTCCTCCTCCCCTCTTCCCCTAGTGTTGCGCAGGACTGGACGGCGTGTCAGTGGCCCGAGCTGGTACCAACGCACTCCCATCCTGGGCCAACACCTCTCGTCCTAGTTTCCTTCTCGCTTGGCTTCATCCACCCCTTGGTACTTTCGTCTCTGTCCAGGGGTACCTATCAGCCCCTCTCTCTCTTTCTTTACTTGGCAATCTCCAATCTCCCCGTGGGTGTATATCTACGGAGTCGCGTCCATCTTCCGCTCGGTGCATTTTTACCCGTTTCCCCTGTTTTCTCGTTCCATTACGCGGCAACTCAACGTGTTTACATCTCAGTCTCGCTTGGGACACGTTTCGGCGTTTGTGGATGCACGATATTTCCGCCCGCGTTCTCTCCCTTTCTTTTTTTTTCCCCTCGCGCAGCTTCTCTACGCTCGAAAACGTCTAATAATTGAAATATATTGAGTTAAATAGTTTAAGCTAATTATTGCTGAGCGGTCCACCGTGAGATAATATTAACAGAAGAGATATCTTATAATTAAAGTCGCCGTTTTTCAGGCGGATAATCATTTCTAATTAAAAGATGTAAATACAAGATAGGTCTTCATGAAGGAGACGTGAGCTGTTGGGAAACTCACGGTGGGCGACAATTGTATTTTGCGATCTTATTAAAACTTCGAACTTGTAGTAAATGTCAGGCTCTCATGAATATTCCATCAAGTACAAATCGAAGTATAATTTACGAAAGCGATCATTGTTCATCCGTCGTGATGATTAATCGACATCGTCTCCCGGCTGTCGTGCATCAAATAGGGAGCCGTGCAAACGAAAAAGAATTTATTCGTCAGTTCTCCCAATCGTACGCGCGCGTGCCTGCCAAACTCCTCTTGTAAACGAGCTTACAAAAGGTTTGAAAAAACCTCGGGGGGGGGGGGGTAAACAAGAATCCTCGAAATGGGAAGCAGGATTTTCAGGGCCGAGTGACAAAGTGAATGTGGTTAGCCATTACTCCATTTGTTTATCGTCGAATACGTAAGCGTATTAAATATAAACGTTCCATTATTATTTCGCGGCATGCCAGTAGCAATGCAGTTAACGCTTTGACGTGGCATAAAAGTCGTTTGGAAACGAATGCGCAGTTTGAATGCCCACGGGAAGTCCCGCGATCGAATTGGGATTTTCAGCGTGGATCGTATTTTGTAAGAGATAATTGTGTCGCCGGCGGCGATGGAATGCCAGTGACACCCGATTGCAAAATTTCCAGTGGATTTGGGTCACTCGGTGTCCTAGGTTCGACGGTGCATTAATGACAGCTGTGCGATGCAAGTGAAATATCGCGCTCGCGGGGTATTTTAAAACTTCGAGCTGACAGCGCCAATAATTCATTTCTTATTCAACCCTCATAATTTATGTTACAAATATACGAATGGTAATTTTCCTTTTTATCAAAATACGAGGGACACCCGCAAAGTAAGGGTCGAGCGAGCGCATGACGGACGTTTTTCATCGGTAAACGTACGTATAATGGTGAGTTCGACATTATGGCAGATATTTGACATTCCGATATCCGATGGAAGAACATGCTTTCTGCTCCGTCTAACGAAATTTCTCTCTCTCTCTCTCTCTCTCTCTCTCTGAAAAACGAATCTTTCTATTGAATATCAGACGTCACAGATCGTACATCGGATGCGGCGCAAATCTTTCGTAATGATTCCTGTTTAATGGGCACCTTGTTGAATGGTCCTCTAAAGTATCAATCGTCTCCGTAATGCGCGCTTCCAACAAGCAACAAATATCACGAACTGTTCTGAAACAATCGAACGATGCTTGACATCATTGGACGTTACGCCATTGCCTGCCACATCATTTAACTATGTCTGGCGGCATCGACACATGAAACACACATTCTCTATTGAAACTTTTCGCGTCTCCGGACCGTAGGGTGTCGAGAACACGCTGACACAATATGGTAACGAATGGGAACAATCGTGACTGCATAAGTTGCGTGGTCGATCGCGCGTGCAGGTGAATATTGTATTTGGAAGTGACTCTCTTTGTCGTTGCTGTTTTATTTTCAAATGCTAGATTAATAATAATTTTTGAAAATCACCAAAAATTCTGCTCATGAACGAAATGTGTATGGAAGGAAGGAATTTAGACATAAAATAGTTAAAGGAAGTTCTTTTTGTTCAGTGAAAGTTTGACGGTACTATTAACGTTCACCATATGCTTTCTAATTATGCACAGTCATCAATTATAAGTTCATTTGACTATAAATATCTTAAAGGTACGGCGCGTTTGAGTTGAAGCAGATGGTGAACATAAATAATAAGTGTAACGGAGCGAGCAGTAAAATAAGATGTGAAAGCATCTTATTGTAGTAGAAAAGGGTGATAAAAGCGGCCGTTAAAGCCGGCCGACAAATTACAGGGAACTTTTACGACGTCTTGCCGGTCAGACGAGTAAATTTACGCAATTTTGCATTATTTGCGCAAGGTGAACAGAGATGCCGATCGAATTAATTATAAAATATCGGTGGAAGTAAACACTGTAACTGATACGTCGTCGTAGCGTATACTTTTCTAGAGAAACTTGATGGTTGACTCTTCGATCAACTTTATCGCAATTTTGATCACTGTGTATCAAAGAATATAAAGGAGGATATTTCTTGGTGAAATCGGATACACATCATCATCAAAGGGCTCTAGGGAGAAAAACCCACAAGACCCAGTATCGACTTTGTCAGGCAAGATGGCGACTTGATGGCATCCCTTCAATGGGATTTGCTTCTTTCGTGATACAATACTTGGAAACATTCTACGATAAAGGTTACGCTTTAATTACTTTTTTCAAAAGTATAAACAGTGAAATTGTTTTTAAAAATTAGAAAAAATATTTACTCAAACCATTTACTTGTTTCGATCGCAAAAGTATAAGCTGTTAAAGTATAAACTAGAATTATTAGTTTTCAAAATTACAAGAAAATATTTATCTAAACCATTCACTTTTTTGATAAAAAAATTTTCTTCCGCTCTAGATTATATATATATATTTTTTATATATATTACAAAGAAGAAACTTTTTGAAGAGTGCTTTTCCATACAAAAATAATTAACAAATGCACAACAAAGTTCTTTTCCGTAAAATAAGTTTCGAGAAGAATAATTTGAGAACTTGAAATATTAATAATTTGTAACATTGCAAAATTATTGTTCAACGGAAACATTCGTGAATAATCTAAGGTCTGAACCAATACATATTTTGCCATAACTTAGCCGGGGAATACATCGTAAGTCCGATATATCGACAGTGGTACACACCGAATGTTTTATTCAGATCGATTCTGTACACTTTTCGTACATCTTACATACTTTCGTCAAATTGAAAATTCACGACAAGCAAGGAAGTGGAAATTGCGTTTATTAATTATTACGCTGAGATATTCGTGCAGAATCTTTAATGTACCACTCGTATCGCGCTATTCTACCTACATCGTACATACGTGTCGGGACTACATATCGAGGGTGCATTATCGCTTGCAACTGGATATCTCGACGTGAAAAGCACGTCGGGGTTTCTCGCGAGACGCCTTCGATCGTCTCAGACTGAAAAGTTTGCGGGTCATTCGTCGAATTTCTGGCTGCACTTTCGTCCTTGTCAGAACGTGTCGCCGCGCGAGACGCCTCGACGACGCTAGAGAAAGCCTAGCTTTATATCTCGATGACACGTTACACAGTTGAAAAATTTGTGTTAAATTTAACAGATATCACATGTCCCAAACGGTCCACACAAATTTTTCTGTTAATTTAACATAATATGGATATGTTAAATGGTCACACTAACACTCTGTTAATATTTTAACGCAAAATAAATGCAGATCTCAAAATAATTTGAAATAAAGTTTGCGTGAAATTAACATATTTTTAATGACAAAATTAATTTTTTTTAATGTAATTTTTACACTTTACAGATGTAATAAGTTAAATGACGGTTCGAAATCGCTGTCACTTATGTTATATAGAATAAAATCAATATTTTATTATGTAAATTTTAACAGATAAATCTTGTTACTAATAATATAGAACATATGTATTGTGTAAGATTAAAAAATAAGTACGCATTGTGTTGTTTTAACGTTTTTTTCCAGTTATTTCAATAATTTTACATGTGAGGTCAATTAACACAAGAGCAATATGTTAAATTAACACATGATTGTGTTAAACATTTAACGCAGAAATTTTAACTGGCATTTTCTTTAACAAGAAAACACAAATTTTCCAACTGTGTACGTGAACAAGACGTAACACTACTTTCACAATTGCTATTAATCTTAACTCGTGAAAGAATTTCTTTCATATCATTAAAGCGACAATCCTTGTCTTATAAATTTCGCATTTTTATGATATATTAATACAAAGCAGAGTTTGTAACCGTAAGACGGGAATGTCCACCCCAGGAGCAGCTTACTTGTAGCTTTGTAAACCAAAATAAATTACGCGGACCGATTAATTTTAATTAATTCCGGACATGTGACCCACTTTAATGTCTGGAACGACGCGATCTCGCTCAATACTCAATTCTGCATAAGCTTGCAATCGCGTTCACCGGTAAATCCTCATTAGCAGTGGATTGACTTCGGATTTGCCGGAGCGAATCTAACTGAAAGGAAGCAGCGTGGCGTTTCTGACACACCCTGTACAGTTCCACGCGAGAATGTATTTACCGTTGTAAGTCGATACTTACGAGGGCCGAGGAAAACGGAGTTCCCCGTCCCTCGCCGATGGTTTCAGATGAGTAAGATGTCGGACTTTATTCAGGTCACAGATGTGTGCTTGAAATCTAACGAAATAAAGCGAACAAACAACTCCAACCCTAAGCGAGAAACCTGCTAACCTTCACGAGATGCAAAACTCTCGTTTCATAAAAGCATAGGAAATACGAGCATTACGAACTACAGGCGAGTATCGGCAGGTGAGATAAATCTGCTCTCCGTCGCACGTGTGCTCGATGATCCCACTCGTACGTTTGTAATATTATTATTTATTACAATTGACGTAAAACGGTCAAGTACAATGAAACGTTCGAGACCTTTAAAGCTTTTCCGAGATATCGGCCGTTTGAATCACGATGCGTCCGACGTGGACGATAACGGGGTTGAAATGTCCGCGACGTTATCAACCTCCCCCTCGCCCCTCGACGCGACATCTTGTGGGGTATCGTCGGCGAAGCGGATAACGACAGAGCTGAATGATCACTTCCGGGAAGGGACAGCGCGCGTAGGAGGTGGTGGCACACGGGTGCGGACGGGGGTGGTGCGACAGGGGCAGAACGAGACGTCGGGGGTGTCTTGAGCGACGGGGGTGCGAGAATACACGCACGTCGTGTCGAAATATTCCGCTCTCCGCCATCGTTTTATTGATCGCCGATGTAGACACGCGTCTTGAAACACCGACGCAATTGTACATACAAGAGGGTATCACACATACACACGCGCGCACACTTATGCACGATGTAACTCGCACGCAGGCCAGCCGTACCTTGTCGGATAACACTCGTTCCGTTCGACGCGAATATTTCGTGTTGGCGACGCTACCCGCGACGGATTTCTGCATCCGCGAGTATCGCGAGGACTCTCGCCACGAGTTCTGCTGTACTCACGTGATTTTTCCGCTCGCGCGAACCGCTGCGGTCTCCTGATAACAGATGTGGCACGGGAGCCCGGATGCGTGGTGACTCGCGCGTAGTATCAGACCGCGACAGCCATGTTGGCGAGGGTGTAGCGCCCCTAACCGACCTGCCTCGAAGTACAAGTTCTCTCTTCTCACCCTCTTCGACGGCTCGCGCCGTCGCCTCCTCCCGGCCACCTACCCTCCTCGCTGTTGGGCTGAATGAAATTTTCGCTGCGCGAGCCATTAATCAATCGAGAAACTTGGCTCAATAAACATGTCATAAAATAGGGTAATAATGTGAGATAACTTGAAAACACCAAATGTTTCTACAATTGCACTTTTTAATCGATGTGTAAAGTGTGATATGTACAATTGTTTTTTTTTTAGCAAGAAATATCGAAGGAAATAATTTGCAGCAATTTTCTAATTTTTAATATCGTTCGTGTTCATAGCTAAATTTTTAAGATTTTCAGATTATGTTAAAATAAATTGTATTCCAAATAGACTAAAGATTATTTGAAGTAATAGAGGACTAAGAGCCGTGACAGGGTGTTAGCGTCTAAATATTTCATATTCTAAATTTATTGCGAAAAAATTCTTGCGAAATATTTAGACGCTAAGACCCTGTCACGGCTCTTAGTCCTTTATTCCTTCAAATTTGTGTTTATCACATTTGAGCCATACGAATTTTATTAATTTGTTAATTTACGCGGACGCAACACGCGTTTCTTATTTTCATTTAATTATTTGATCGGGTGGGAGGGTAATAATGGAGATACATTGTAGGGATGATTGTGCTGTGTTTTAAGACTGACGATTTAAGTCGGCGCACAGTTCTCATTTTCGAATATTGTCACGATAGGTGGCATTCGGGGAACGACATTAAATTGTTTATCGCGATGAATATTTTCATATGCCTCGGTCGAATTGGTTGAGACGCCCGCCTAGCGAGAGGAAGGTCTAGGTTCAAACCCTGGCTGAGGTAATATTTTTCGCAATAAAATTAGAATATGAAATATTTAGACACTAACACCCTGTCACGGTTCTCAGTCCTTTATTCCTTAAAATTTGTGTTTATCACATGTGAGCCATACGAATTTTATTAACTTGTTAAAGATTATTTATTATTATAATCGTTAATTTATCGTTTACTTTCTCTTTCTTGAAATTTTACCAGATGCATTTTATTTACTTTACGTGTGTCTATTTTGCTGAGAAGAAATCGATTCCGAATCCTCCCTTTCTAAAAAGGAGACGTTACCAGGGCGAATGTCATTAATATCGAACCAGTTGAGGCCTCTTTTCCGCGATGTCGATTGTATACACCAACTATTGAGAGAAAATCTCCAATCTTAGTAATTAGAATTTAAGTAACAACGATTTTTGTTTCGAAACATCTTCTCGATTGAACAGAATTAATCGTCAATTTAATCAATACCAATAAGTCCGCGGTATAATACGCAAAACGTAGCAACAGTCACGGAACAAAGTAATGTACAATAAAATATTAAGTACGGAATTTTCCTGCGTAGGCAGGCCAACGAATTCTCAACGTTTTTTTTGTTGTTTTTCACTCGGCGCGGTATCGTACGACGATTAAGCGGGCCAACGAATTCTCAAGGTTTTTTTGTTGTTTTTCACTCGGTGCGGTGACGTACGATGTTTTTGCGTGCCATCGTGTACCTCAAGGTTGCCGAGCATCTCACTCGCTCGCCCTACGTCGCGCCGGCAGGCAGTGGCGAGAGTCCGCTCCGTGTGTGTTATTACTTTTGCGTTATCGCTTTCCAAGACTCGATCGCGATGAATATAGGGATAAAACGCTATTGATTTGTACACTTATCGTTGGAAATTTCACTCACATACTTTATTTCGAGGATTAGATGGAATGACAAAGATTGTAAAATATCGTTTCGTTGCGGACTAACTACTTCTTTGCCGCATATTGTGCTTCCGATGCTCGCGTTGCGTTTTATATCGCCAATTCAAGAGCGTTTTATCCATTATCCTATTCTTCCGAATCGAAAATGCAAGTTGTTAGTTTGAGTAATTTGTATGACAGAAAGTCACGCGATATTTGTTAACACTATTTCGTGCGTTTCGCGGTATTTCACGTCGCGTACGGGAGTGCCCGAAATATCGCGCGATCGATGATTTTCGCGAGTGGGTGTGTGAGTGTAAGTGCAACAAGGAAATCTGAGAGGATGAGCAGGTTCTAGGAGACATCGGGCAACGGCGGAGAAATGGTGAGGTAAGTGTCTTATAATACATTTTTATGTTATGTGCTACTTGTGCAAAATAAAGCATCTCTTCTGTGCATTTATTTTATCTAACCAAATGATTCGAACGAGGATTTGAATAAGTGTTAGAGACAAATCCATACGTGTAAAATTATGTGAGTTTACATTTCAAAGAAAGACTTGTTCAGTATTCTATATAATTATTTTAATAAATACTTATTTAAAAAAATATAAAATAGAAAGTATATTTAATACAATAATTTCGATTTTGCATAATTATTGTATAATAATCATATACATTTTTGTATTGTTGCAGTTTAACATATATAGTTAGCGATGTACAACTTTGCTGTTGCGACTCGTATCAGTGAGTGATAAATTACGTTTTATTCTTAATTTATGCTGCGCATACAATTACTTCTTTGCCTATATACAAATTCCTAAAAATATACAATGCTCAACTACAAACTGCGCGCGCGAAGCGCGCGTTTTGTCATTTCTAGTCGATTAAAAAAATTGTATTCCAATTTTGAGAGTGTACATCTTGAAAATATTTTTTCGTAAACTTTGGTTAATTTCAATCATGATTTAAGAAAGGAAAGTTCGTAGTTATCGTAAATACTGTCTGCACGGTACGACAGAAGGAAACTTTCGTACTTTCTTACATCGTCTTCTTCGTGATCGGAATTACTGTAAAAACAGTCGTTTTTGCGATTGAAAGACGCTTCTTAAGAAATCCTCCTTCTTGACAAATGCGATCGAGCATCCTACGGGAGAAGGTAAATCCCTAAATCTCCCCTTTAGATGTGCAGTTACGCGTCGTGGAGAAGTGCGCGCCGCGAGAAACGTCAGGACTCGGCCTCCCCCTTGCCTTTCCGCGGAAACGATAAGATATTGTCTATGGAAGATGGATAAAAAAACCATGTCGATTTATTATATATCGGACTCTTTCTTCGCCACCATCGATCCCTCGTTCTTACTATTTTTATCAGTTGCCATGGCGGTTAATCCGTCTAACGTCTTCCGCGAGAATTTCGTCTCTTATCATGTAATCAGACTCGAGATTTTTCAAATAAACCCCATGACCTATCGTGTCGGAGTTCCCATATCTCTTCGTCCGAGATCTCGCTGGATCCTCGAGAGTTCGGGATTTTAATCAAAAATTTACAACGGGCGAGCTCGCATTCCACCGGTAATGGCAGGAATCAAGATGTCGGATTGTTTCGCTGATAGGCAATAACCGTGAATGAAAGATTAATTGCTACTGTTGTTCGTAAGCCGGTATCTACAATCATTTGTACGGCCATTGCATATTATCTTTCCTTAATAATAAATAAGAATAATCATGATTTATTAAAAAAGATTAATCGATCTGTCATGTTTATATATCTGTAATAAAGCTTGAAGCTCAAATGCCATGAAAGTAAAATCTGTTTAAAGTCAACTGAGAATTAATTGCGTTTGACGGAGCACGAAATTTACTTTGGGAGTAGAAAATATGTATACGAATAGAGCCGTACAATGGAAATAAATGTGTGAGAAAGAAGTGCGTGGTCCATTCGTCACGTTGTCACCGTGAAGCATTAATATTTCATAGGAACGCCAAAGACTATCCATTTCCCCATCGCTCCACCGTTTGCTCATTCGTCTGATTATACAGTATCGAGAAAAAGTGATTTGATTGTAATTAATGTTTTCAAATTATTGGTTTGACGGCTAGAGTAGAAAATCTTGCGGATTTTTCAGTCTGTTACTTTAATAGCATGAGGAAGTACACGTTAGAGTAACATCCTTCTTTGTGGGAAATAACTGGAAATTTTCTCGACGAGTGCGCATAACCGGGCACCTTTTCTTTCTTTTTTATTAGAGCGTGTATAACACCGAGAGCAAACTGCAAAACATCACTGCTGGAAAATCGTTAAAATCCAAATCCCCGATATATTGTCCTCATTGCGCCGGGCGGAAAAAAGGAAGAAGCGGCAGCAGAGGAACCCAAACGGTTTTCATACCGCTCGTTTCCGACGAGAGTTTTTATCGCTTACTGACGCTGCTTTTTTTGGTGTTTCGTGCTATAGTTTTTTCTTTTCTTTGTCATACCACCATCGCACGATAGCGCAATCGTTTGCGCGTCACATGAGAATAAAAGGTCGCCAAGACGCACGCAAAATCGCGCCTTTTCCGCCTCTGCCTCGCGAATTCTCGTTTCTGCCCTTCCGCCGAATTGTTAATGAAGCATTGGAGAACGGAGCGGTTATCTAACGAAGTTACAAACTCGAATTGTTAATCACACATAGGTAATCCTAGCGTACACGGTTCTTCATTGGTCTCAATAATGGGTGTAATCAAGCGCGATAATCAACTCGCTTTTGTGTAAGTTGGCGCACTAATAATGTATAACTTTGCATATTAATGAGATAAGTTGAGTCGAGGTGCGCCGCTTTGTTTTAGAAACCGAATCTTTATAGTTTGACACGCAACAAAAATACATCCTTAGAAAGAGTGTTGAATTTTACCCCTTGGCGCCGCGAGTAACTTTCACTTAAGGTATTGCAATCTCGGCGCGTTGCTTTGCCGAAGCATTATAACAAGATTCAGGAATATCGCGGTTGAATCGTGCGAGTGATCGCGCCACGAGCTTCAAATGCTAATTAGTACGGGGAATTTCAGTCAGAAGCATGAGTGCCGAAATAACGACCATACCAAATACGAGCGTTGCTTGGAGCATATCGGCGGTAGAGATATAGGTCCAAGCATTTCTCAGATCACGTTTCGGAAAACGCTGATTTCGGAGAAGACAACTCGATTACGAGGGAGTATCGCCCCGCAGGGAGCTTTTCCTACTTACGTGGCGATTTTAACCGAAAGCACTGAAAGTATACTAAAAAGCCTTACGCTTCACATATATTTCGCGGTTGTCTCCACTAAAAAGTTCGATAATCTTCGGCAATTAAACCAAATACTTTGATAATACTACAAAGTGGATAAAAATTAACAAATAATATTTAATAAAGTGCAACTTTTTAGAAAACGACTCTGATAATTAACAAATTTATCAGTGCGTATTGTTTCGAATTTGA